GCTCGTCTTCGTGAGCGGAATACTCCGTGTCAGAAGCCACAAAATGACTCACAATGTTGTGGCCTGAATCAGTTGCTCCGAGAGAAGTCGCAGCTGATTCCTCTTCGTCGTCGTCATCTGCCTCATCACCATAATTGGCGCCTTCAGTATCAGCGTCGTCCTCGGAAGAGCAAGACTCAGAGCGACTGCCATGCGCCGTGGCATTATTGCCCTCTTGTAAGGAGTGATTGTCGCTGGTCTCGGCAGCTGCGCCACCTACAACAGAGACGGGAAACTATTATAGGGAAGTAAGATGCGCACCTACTCCCCTGGATGGTAGTCCATCCCTTACAGATGACGAAGACCACCACTACCCTGGCACAGTAGTAAACTTGGTTACAGCGTGTAACAAGCACAAACCTTCTGTATCTGCTTTTGAAGTTTGCTCCTCCGAAGGCAGTTGCTGCTCCTCCTTGGCTGGGGCCTTGGGTGGTGGGAGAGAGGGTGCACAGGTGCCCAGGCGCCAAGATCCCGGTGAGGTGACCTGAGTAGTTTCCGATGGTGCAGGATCTGATTTATCGGACGACGTCCGCCTCGTCTGCTCAACTAGTGGGTGAGCTGGATCAAGTAGATCGCGATACCTGGAGACCATGAGCACGGAGAGGAAGTAGACAACTGCGAGCGTCACAAATTGAACCTGCTTCGTCTCCTCCTTGATTTTGTAATGTAGGGCGAGAGACAGAGAGTGAAAATCCAAAATAAACCATACAAGTCAATGAGGCGCTACAGAAGCGACATTCTTTCAAAGTCCAGCATGGGTAAGTAGAAGCGAAAAAGGTACGGGTTTTGTGAATACAAGGTCAAGGACAAGGAGATAGGAATATCGATATAGGACAACGTGGTCTCTTATAACGCTTAGGCAGACGAAAATAGGGACTGTTGCCACAGTAACCACAAAGCCAAGCGCGTACCTCATCCCGGTAGATGATGTTATGCAGGCGATGAATGTCAACGTTTTGCAGGAGTTTTTCAGGATCGACTAGTGGAGAGAGGACGGTGTGTTCGAAGATGCCACCCTGCAGAAGACGGAAGATATGCGATATGACTGATATAAAATATCAAGAAAGTAAGGCCACAGAGGTCGTGGAAAATACCCAAGCACAAACATTTTTCGCAGTAATTCCGTTCAACACTGAAGTGTGCTGAAGTCCTCTAGGCATGCTTGCATGGCAAAACACGATGAGAGAATGACTACGCAGGGCCCATATCTACGGTTTACTGCGCATAACCACTTTTGTGGAAAAAATGGAGAGATGAATTACGAGGAACGTTGATTGATCATTTTTGTGGATAAATAGGAGTGATATGCAAGAGATCCGGTGGTAAGTGGTGTCAAAAATGAATTCCATTGTTGAGTACAGAGAAGGGTAACAAAGAGAATTACTCGACGGTCCACCTACGTCATATGCTACCCACCGTTCCTTGAAGAACAAGAGAAACCAACACGTTAGAGGAATTAACGAAAACAAGACTTCATGCTTAGACTACACGAGAAGATGCCAGTAAATGATTGATAAAAATAAGGGGTGGGGAATGCGGTTGATTGTTACAATGAAAAAGCAGAAGGGAGGGGGAGAGTAGAGGGCAGAAGAGACTCAGGGCAGGCAGCAAAGAAGTAAGCTGACATTACGGAAGGACATTTTATATCCCCCCCTCAAAAAGAAACTAGTTTTGCCTAACATGCAATATTGCGTTAGGCAAACTAAAATTCTGACACCGTTGTTTGCCCGGCAAGTAGGTAAGGAAGACGTAGGACATGGCGCCGAACATCCAGTTCATTCGAATCCGCCTGC